CTGTCCTCAGGAAACTTACATTCTAATGAGGGAAGAAACACATGAAAGGGAACTGAAAAGCTGGGGGATGGGCAAGAATGGAAAAGGTGGCATGGGGGCAAAGTCTGGAGAATCAAAAGCAGAACTAGGAGAAGGGCCAGTCTGGACCCTTCTTCAAAATGGAAGCCCCAGGACAAACTCACCAATGAGAGAAGGGGCTGGGGGTGGAATGTTCCAGAGTGAGGATATAGGCACTAAGGGAACTTCCAGGGTTCCTGGAAGGACAAGGAAGCTGGGCCGTGGTGGTGAAGTCCTGAGAGTCAGAAGCAAAATTGCATATGGAATGTCAGAGCTGGAATGGACTTTAGAATATTTCACAGAGGAGAAAATAGGGGCTCAGAGACAAGAGCTGCTTTCCCTAAGATCAAATAGCTGCCAAGGGGCAGGGCTGGGATTTAAACCCGTCTCTACATCAAGTTGCCCGGTGAGACTCTATTAAAAATGGTTTTGCGGGTCCAAAAATACTGTCCAGCAGAGTAGTGGAGAGAAATGTTGGAGCTCACAGGCATCAGGAGAAGAGATGCTTCCCTTTCTTAGAGAGCTTTGGCTCCATATCCACGAGTCTGAGGTCACTGAGGACAAAGGTCATATACCACATCCAGGGCAGGAGACTTCCTTATTAATAGACTGTTCTGCCTCATTTTTTTTTTGTCTTTCATTGATAGGGTGAGGGGAAGAGGGAGCTTGCCTTGTTTGTCTTTTTCCATGGAGGGAAGGAACAGCACTGGCTCCTTCCCAGAACACTTTGCCCAGGGGCCTGGCATCCTAGGGGTGTGCTCAGCCAGCTTTCAGAGTGTCCAGCCCCAGAGCAAGTGGCACTGAGGTCAGAGAGAATAAATCAAGGAGGGCCTCTGTGGGATTGGCACCCTGGTAGGGGTCAGAAGACAGGGGGGAAGGGCTCAATGATGCACGTGCCCTCCCCCTCCAACCCCATGGCACCACAAGGCAAGTTGCTGCTTCACTCCCATGCCAGCCCTCACCTCCCGGCAACGTCGCTGCGTTCCCAGCCACGCCATCTGGTGTGCCCGCCGCTCCCTAGCACATTGCAGCGGGCGGGGTTGGGGGGGAGGGAGGAAGGCAGCCCGGCTGGCGCCCACCCTGGAGCAAAAAAGGCACTGAGGGTGGGGTGTCCCTTGCTACCTTACTGGAAGAAAAGAGGGAAGCTAGGGGTAGAGGAGTGGGCATACTCTGCCAAGGCATCAGGAGGAAGCTTGGGGGCATTTTTAGTTTATAGAATGGTCACAGACTGGACACCTTTCCCTTCCCCCCTCCCTTAACATGCCTCATGTTAGGGGCACAGACCTTCAGTCTGGACATACACAGGACTCTGACTCTGGACCTGTTTTGCCTCTATGGTGGGGGAAAGCTGACCTCCTCCTTTCCCTACCCCCACAATCTCACATAGTAGATGCCGTGAATACAAAGACTGTCAAGTGCTTAGATATTTGGGACTGAATAATGAAGACTGGAAATGAGGGAGGGGTGTGGGGGTGGAGAGGATTGGGGCTGTTTCATAGTAGCTTCATCCTCCATGTGAAGCAAGATTCCCCTAGTTTGCCAGCTGACAGAGGAGTCCACCACTGTCATAGTGTCATACCTCTCTCCCTTCTTCCCTCCACCATACTCGTGTTCCAGTCTACTCCTCACCCCTTTGCCCTCTCAGAGTCCCAGTTGAAACAAAATGGCTGTCACCCCCTCGAGGCAGCCATCTTAGGTGCCCAGAGATCTATTTCCCTTGGGGTGGGGGCTGTATCACCATAGGAACACCAAGGCTCCCTGAACACAGGTCCCATGTGGAGTGGGAAGCTTAAAAAGGGTCCTAGCCTAGTCTGAGTCTCCACAGCTCCCTTCACCTTCCCCTCCTTTTTAAACCAACTCCCTCCCTTCAATGCCAGGGGGAGGAACAGATGGTATCTCTGGGTGTCCTGCCTCTCTCGGTCTCTTTTTCTCCATTTCTGTCTCTCTGTTCCTCTCTCTGTGTGTGCTTGTGTGTCTGTGTCTTTCAACCAATCACAGAGGCAAGCTCACCCTAAATCTCCCTTGGTTCCAATTCCTCCCCTAGTTGTTTTTTTTTTAATGTTATTTCCTTTAAAAGAAAAGGTTGAAATGTGTCAAGTGAGGAAAAACTTGTTCCATTTTTCGAAAGGAAGAGGAGATGGGGACTAAGAAAAAGATAGAGCTGGAGACAGGCAGAAAACAGATTCCCGATTGCCACTCCCATTCCCTTCTCTCATTGGGTAAAAGGAAAGGGAGGACCAGGACAGGTCCTCAGCAAAGGGGGTGCTAGCCTGAGGTCATTATAGGGTCAAGAGAGAAGCAGGGAGGGGAGCAAGAAGTGGGGGGCAGGGAAGACAACCAAACTAGCTAACAGTTGTTCAAAATTTGGGCCCCTGGTCTCGTCATCCACCTGAGGATGTCCCTAGTCCAAGAAATACTGATACTTCTGAACTATGCCTCAGGGGTCAGAAAGAAACTGGAGCAGAAATGTATTCTCTTCCCAAGATCCCTTTCTTCCTCTCCTCCCCTCCATCACCTCAGAACTCCCCTTCTAAAGGGCTTGAAGGGAATTTCAGGCTGTAACAGGTGGAATATTTGGAGGCAGGAAGAGAGCTATAACAACCTCTGAAGGGTCCTACTTATCCTAGGATGTTCTGGCACCATTCTTGTTTCAGAAAACACTACTAGCTCTTTTTCTTCCAAGGGTTCCCTGAGGAGAGAGCATGTGGTTGGGGGTGCCCACCCAAAATAACTCAGTGAACAGGGGCACCTGAAAACCTGGAGAGAACATACTTAGGGAAGCAGGTGTGTAGCCTTTCAATCCCCAGGGGAAGCAGGAGGTTAGCTTCTGATGGAACCTAAGGTGTCATCCCTGGAGAGACAGCAGGGACAGAATGTCAACTAGGACAGAACTAACCCACCTATCCTCCTTTCTTTCCTTCCATCCTTCCTTTCTTCCTGGGGCAATGGTGTCTGTTCTAAGAGCTGGTGTGTGGATGTGTATTTATGTGTGTCCCAATGCATAATTGCTGTTTGGCCCATGATGGGGGTGGGGGTGGGAAGCAGTGGGAGTCACAGTGACCTGAGGCCCTAGATACTCTGTTCCATAGTCTGGCATCCTGGATTGTATCTGACTGGCTCTGGGGAAGAGAGAACCTTTCTCCAGATACCAGGCATCTTTTTCAAAAGAGTGGAGAAATCTGGGATAGGGGTGGAGACAAAAAGGGAGGAAGTATGAGGCTTCTTTAAGTCCTGAAGAAGCTAAGGAGACTGTCCCTTGGGATGGAGAAATTCTGCATCTCTTGGCTGCCTGTTCTATTTCCTGTCACATACCTCTCCACCTAGACCGGAGCAGAGCTGGCTTCCTGGAATTTCAGAAAGGAGGGCAGAGAAGTGGACTAATGGGGGTGGGGCTGGGCATCTCTACTTGTCTCCCTCCTGCAATCATTTGTCTCTTATGCCTGTCCCCAAGGCAAGTCCTGGCATAAGAGTATTGGATGCAATGAGTGTGAATATCTCCTTTTCTCCCTGCTCCTGTTGTCCCTGTTCTCCCAGACCCAGGATCAATGAAAAGAGAAACTGAAGGATGTCTATTTGTGTGCATGCCTATGTGTGCACAAGTACAAGAAAAGTGAAAGTAAGTGTGTGTTTAAGTCTGTGCACAGGTAAGTGTAAATACAGGCATGTACTTGTATGATTGTGTGTGCAATAATATATATGCATATACATGCATATACACACATATATACATTTGACATATACGTATATTTGAATACTGTATACATGTGTAGCCACTGCATCTGTATCATTGTATAAGGAACAGCTTTGCATGTATGTGTGTGTGTGTGTGTGTGTGTGTGTGTGTGTGTGTGTATGCATGAATGTGTAAAACATCCCTGACTCTTGCTCCCTTTAGGATTTGTTTGGGCCAATGAGGGGGGAGAGACAGACCCTTGCCTTGACCCTCTCAGCAGTCTTTTGGGGTAGTTACGAATAGCTCTGTAGAGGCTAGTGGAGTCTAACAATCTGAATACCACTTAACAGTCCCCCCTCCCCTACCTTAGAGTCCGTACTTAGTCCCCTCACCTTCTTGAACCAGGATTGGCTCCCAAGGAGGGGTACTGACTGCCCCTGGAGTGACTAGGGCCTGGGGAGTGCTGTGTTAGCAGTCTGTGCCCATACCCTTCCCAGATGGCTGATGTATATGGGCCCATTGAAGGGACTTCTTCCCAGCCCCCACCCCCACACACAGTCAAAATGTGAAGCTAGATACAAACACGATCACAGAAACACACACGGTCACATTAATTCTTCCATAGTCTCACACACATGTAAGTAGAAGCATAGAAACGCAGAGAGACACACGGAGGCAAATCTTTCTTTCTCTGCTTCTCCTTTGGTTGAATTTCATTCAGCCACATATGTTGTGTGTGTGTGTGTGTGTGTGTGTGTGTGTGTTGTGTGAGGGTGGGTGGAGGAGGGGCAGATAGAATGAGGACTGGCATTATGCCAGCACCTACCTATGGGGCCTGGGCTGGGGACACCCCCTCCCCACCCGCCCAGGGACTTCTACCCTGGGAAGGGGGCCTCAGCTGTCCCTTTGTGGCTTGAGGGGGACCCTCTTTGTAGGTGGTAGCAAGAACACAGCCCCTTTTGCCTCCCCAGCCCTGAGTCTGGTCCATGACCCACCTTGGGGGCTTAGGGGGTGGATGTGAGGAAGATTCCAGGAAGGGAAGGGGGAAGGGCAGATTAAGGGGCCATGGTCCCCCCACAGTCCTTCCCTTTCCAACTTCCCCACCCTATTGTTCCCATCTGGGGGGACATGCCCCAAGGGATCTATTCCCCCACCCCCACCACTATCTACAGCCCCGTTTTCCCCTGTGCTGGGAGGGGAGGGGAGGACCGAAGAGATATTTATTTATTTATTTTCTTTCTTTATTTATTTAATTTTTTTTTTTTGGGAGTAGAGAGTGACAGATGGCGGCTGGTCCCGGGGGAGCCGGCTCTCCCCCAATGCAGACGCATGCCAATCACCGTCTCTCATGTGATAGCTGCTGCCCGTGACGTGCCAAGCCCATATGGCCCTGGCATAGAGGCTGGTACCCCCGCCTGGTAGAGATGCCACACTCGCTCCCCGCTTCGCATGGCGCTCTGAAGACGCCGGCGCCCGCCGCCTTGAGGAGCCGCTGCCCCCGCTCCTTGAAGATGGGGAAACAATGAAATAGACAGGAAGATTCCTTCTCTCCCCCTCTCTCTCTTACCCCCCTCCCCCCTCCCCTCTCCCCCGGACTCCGCTTCGAGGTAAGTTGTCCGAGGGGCAGGGAGATTTGAACCGCCAGCTGGGGAGGGCTCTGGCTATGGGCTTTGGAATCGGGGGACCAGGAAGTCCCCAAATACCCCGTTGGCTTCCTGGGGTTATGGTCCACCTCCATAAGGTGGGGAATGGAGCCACCCTGGGATCCCTGCTCCCCCCGCCCCCCCGGGGTCTGCGGCTCTGGGTATTGGGCTGCGGAGGTGGTGGCTTTGGTTTTCGAAGGGGCTGGGGTAAAGGCAAGAAAAGAGGGCTAGGGGCTAGACATGGCAGACGTCCTTCTCCGCTCCCCCATGATTCCCATACCGAACCCGAGATGTCCCTCAGAAAAAAAAAAGGAAAAAAAAAGAAAAAGAAAAAACGGATTCTCACCAAATCCCAAATATAACGAGATTCGGGGAGCCATTCGGTGGGCGGCGAGGTTTAGGGATGTCCCGGGTGTCTTTGGACGCTGGGGTGACGAGAAGGGTTTGTTTTCCTGGCTTCGTAATGTGGACCCCGGTTCCCCTGTCCGAGACTCCCCGAGCCCTGAAGCCGGGAGTCCGAGGACAGAGCCGGTGTTGGCCTGGAGGAAGGAGCTGGAGCTGGAGACGGAGACAGGAACCGATTCGACTCTGAGACTGGGGGCAGACGGGGGCGGGGGCCGGGGTGGGCTGGGGGCGGCTCGGGGCCAAGTTGAAAATTGGATTAGGGGTTGAGGGCGGTAGAGCGGACGGCAGCGAAGGTGGGGAAAGGAACAGAGCGGGGAAAAGCAAAGAGAAGTCGGACCCACCCAGCCCAGGGCACGAGGCACGACCGGGAAGCCGGACGGCCAGAAACACTCAAAGTCTCCGCCCGGAGGGAGAAAAGAGAATTATTTCGGGGCGTGCCCCCAACGGAGAAATTCGTTCTCTAAAATACCCCTCCACCCCCACACCCCTACTCATAGAGAAAATATGCAGAGAGAAGGGGGAGGAGGTCGGCCTCAAATCCAAGCCAGGATTATAACAAGGAGATCGGAGTTGGGGGTTCCCGGCCTAGGAAGGGGGGTGCGCTGGAGCGGCGGGGAATGGAGGAGCACCTGATACCCAACACCAGGAATCTGGAGACCCCCCAGCCGAGATTAAAATGGACCGCTCTAGATAGGCTCTGGGGGAGAATGTTTTTCCGCGGCAGAGGAGGCTATGGAGGAGTGGGTACCTCTTCCCTCTAAGTGCCCCAGGGGTGGGTAGAGGTTGCTATGGGGTAAAGGATAAGAGAAGACAAGAGGTTGAGAGAAACGCTCTCCCTACAGCCTATTCCAGGAGGCAGAAGTCTGAAAGGATACTGGGGATGGGAGGCTTGGAAGAGGTCACCTGAGGGAGAGGTTTAATTTGGGACGGGGGGTGCGGTGGGGAAGGGAGGTCTGAAAAAGGGGAGCATGAGTGTGTGTACGTGTGCGTGCGTGTGTGTTTGTGTGTGTGAAAAGCCACCTCTAACAGGAGCGCGGCACTTGCATGGGTTGGCTGAGCTGGTTCCTCTGCTCTATGCTCACCTCTGTGTCTGTGTCTGTCTTTCCCCCTCCCCCAACTCTTCAGGCCACCATGCTGACCCGCCTGTTCAGCGAGCCCGGTCTCCTCCCCGACGTCCCCAAGTTTGCCAGCTGGGGAGACGACGGCGACGACGACGAGCCCAGGAGTGAAAAGGGTGACACGCCGCCCCAGCCGCCGCCTCCGCCGCCTGGGCCTGGGGCTGGAGTTCCTGGGCCCGTCCGCCCCCCAAAGCCGGGCCCTCTTCGTGGCGAAGACCCCCCGGACCCTGCACTGGGCGAGGCCAAGGACGACGGCGAGTTGGGGGGCGAGGAGGAGGAGGAAGAAGAGGAGGAGGAAGGGCTAGACGAGGCAGAAGGAGAGCGGCCCAAGAAGCGGGGGCCCAAAAAGCGGAAGATGACCAAGGCGCGGCTGGAGCGCTCCAAGCTGCGCCGGCAGAAGGCCAACGCGCGCGAACGCAACCGAATGCACGACCTCAACGCGGCGCTGGACAACCTGCGTAAGGTCGTGCCCTGTTACTCCAAGACGCAGAAGCTATCCAAGATCGAGACGCTGCGCCTGGCCAAGAACTACATCTGGGCGCTCTCTGAGATTCTGCGCTCTGGCAAGCGGCCGGACCTGGTGTCCTATGTGCAGACATTGTGCAAGGGCCTGTCGCAGCCCACCACCAACCTGGTGGCCGGCTGCCTCCAGCTCAACTCGCGCAACTTCCTCACAGAGCAAGGCGGCGAGGGGGCGGACGTTATCACGGCTCGGGAGGCCCGTTCGCTATGCACCCCTACCCGTATCCCTGCTCGCGGCTCGCTGGGGCTCAGTGTCAAGCAGGCGGCGGGCTGGGCGGCGGTGCAACGCACGCCCTGCGGACTCACGGCTACTGTGCGGCCTACGAGACGCTGTACGGGGGTGGCGGCGGGGGCGCCTCCCCCGACTACAACAGCTCGGAGTACGAGGGGCCGCTGAGTCCCCCGCTCTGCCTCAACGGTAACTTCTCCCTCAAGCAGGACTCGTCTCCGGACCACGAGAAAACCTACCACTACTCTATGCACTATTCCGCTCTGCCCGGCTCCAGGCCAGCTGGCCACGGCCTGGTCTTCGGCTCCTCGGCCGTGCGCGGGAGCGTCCACTCGGAGAATCTTTTGTCTTACGATATGCACCTTCACCACGACCGAGGCCCAATGTATGAGGAACTCAATGCATTTTTCCATAATTGAGAACTCTCCTCCCTCACCCCCTCTTTTGTTTTCCTTTTTTTTCGTTCCTTCCCTTTTAATTTATTTACTTTTTTTTTCGGAGAAGGTGGGCCACCCCCCACCATGGCAGGGATTTGGGCGGCAGGGCCACGTTGACTAGAGGCCACCCCCCTCCTCCAGGCTCCCTCCGTTCCCCTCACCTGTGCAGTCGGGTTACCTGTTGATGTCTCCCCCTTTTTCGTCCCCCTCCTTTGTCACTCTTCCTTTGCCCTAGAAGTTTTCCTTCCCTAGGGGGAACCCCTCCTAGGACCTCTCCCAAGAGGTCCGGCTTCTTCCAGGAGCGCCTTCTTCCCCACTTCTTCCCCTCGGGTCTTCTGCCCTCACACACTGTCAACTCCTTCCCTTAATTTCCTCTTCTCATCCTCAGTCCCCAAACAGTGCAGTCAGCTCGGGCCTGGAGAAGGGGACCGGGGGAGGGGGCGGCCCAGCGGCCGGATTCCATTTCATTTGTTAAGTTATATTTTTTAAATACCAGAAAGGGGGAATGCAGTAGCGGTGGGGAGGGGCGGGGTGGAAGATAGGGAGTTCTGTTTCCTAAAGAGAACATACTAAGTTCACCATACCCGGGGCCTTGAATGCCTCCCACGCACCCGGTCTCTCCGCTTTGGAGTCTTAATATAAGTTGGGAGGTGTAGAGGGGAGGCGGAGGGGGAGGAGATGGGGATCCGAGAGGAAAGAAAAAGGTCAAGACCATTGTAACCAGATTCCGACTTTTTTCTTTTTTGTTTTTTTTCTTTCTTTTTTAAAAAACACAAAAAAACAAACACAAAAACGCAAAAAGGCGACGGAGGCCGAACGCAGAGTCCGGAGCGGAGAGAAAACACAGTAAGAACTTTTAGAAGCAATAAAAGGCAAAAAAAAAAATAAAATAAAATAAAAAATAAAAAGACACAAATATCTATGCAAGGAGGTTCTGACTGAGCCAAGCGGCCCCGCCCCCTGGTCCCCCGGGATCCCCCCCACCCCTCCTCGGCTCCAGGGCCGGGGTCGGAGCTGCAGAAGCGGATATGTGCACTTTGGTGAAGTTGGGGACGTGGCGCCTCCCCTCTCTCCCTAGTCCCCTCTCACCCTTTCTCACTCCTCCCTTCCCTCGGTTCTTACAATCAGTGACTCCGAGATTTGGGACATCAGTGTCACTTTCCTCACCCTCCCCTTTCCCCTCCTCACCCGTCCCCATTGTGCGTCATACTGTTTTTTAAACCTGTTTCCAAATTTGTATGAAATGGCGAACTGTTGGGGGAGGGTCGGTTTGGGGAAGGGGGGTTGCATGATAAAAACACACTGACACAGCACGCACGCACACACGCACACACAGTGACACAGCGACATACACAATGACACACACTTAGCCACATGGTAAAATATGCAATGCTACTTGGGAAAGAAGGGAGCTATAGCCTTTCTCTGGTCTGGGGAATCGAAAGAGGAAAGGAAATATTGCAGCCCAGAGGCATCCCTTTAAGCCCGGGTCTCCCTTCAGACCTCTCTCCCTCCTACTTTCCAAGCCCGGTCAATCAGTTCCCTGAGGCTTTGTTGCTGTGGTCTTCCTTCCCCTATTGACGCCTGGGAATGGACAGGAGGATGCTTGGACCGATATAATTCCTGGAGATGAAACTTTTCCGAGGGGTCCTTCTGGTCCTCGCCTGGCCTCTTCAGCACCCAAGGCCGGGAGGGGGTCAAGGATCCTCTTTGTTACTGTCGCAAAACAGAGAGAAGTTACGGAGAAACAGGTACTCGCAGAACAAGCCCGCAACCAAACAGACGAATAGACACATGTTGACACAAAGCAAAAATGCAAACACACACGCAGACACACTCAATCTCTCTCTATTACACACAAACACAAGCAATTTCACCTTCACATCTTATTGAAGCTGAAACTCCCGTTGGACACCCGAAGTGCATTGCGTGTTTCTGTTCAGTTTAATGACGATTAATAAATATTTATGTAAATGAGATGCAAAGCTGGACGGCGGTTTCTCACGGTGGCGTCATTTCATTTGGGGGCAATTGAGTTTGGGGATCCGGGGAGTGGTGGGATTGGGGTGACGAAGCAGGTTAAAAAAGAGGTCGGAAAAGGGAGGTGGTACCTTGGGGTCAGCTATAAGGCGGCTAAGGGTCCCTGGGTCCTGGGCAATTATATCCTCTGTGTGGAGATCGAACTCCACAGAGACGTGCAAGTCAACACCCTTAGACAAACAGGTACTCACAGATAATGCATTTGCACAGACACGTACAGGCACATGCAAGAACATAGCCACTTCCTTGACAGTCACACACTCAGACACATGCTCACACAAGCACATGCCTTCTCTTTTAAAACAACAATAACAACATACATCTGTTTCTATAGCTGGTTTCAAAGGGAAAAAAGTCAAGTCACAGGAGGGGGATCATCTGCACCTGATGACAAGAGAGACTCGTATCTTCATGTGTCAGACACGATAAGGGGGATGGTGGTGATGGAGGAGAATCCTAATAAAGAGCCAGTTGTCAGAGGCAGAGCAATACATTTTTTAAAAAGATCATGATGAAGAAAAAAGGAGAAAAGTATTCTTTTTTAAACTACAGTTTCAGTCAGACCAATCATTTTCAGCCTCTGGATTTTGGAGCATCAAATTTTAAATTTGTATGCTTTGGGGAGAAGGAAGAGGTCAAGGGGAGGCCTGAAAACACTGGGAGCTGGAGATTGGTTCTGGATAAGCCTTTGTGAATAGAACAAACAAAATCCTCCGGATTTTGAGCACTGAGAATTTTAGAACCCCAGCGGCAGCACATACACACTCAACATCCCTACATTGTCTAGTTGGCAGTTCTCTCTTCCATTTCATACTGCTCAGAGAAGAGAAGATCCTGAAAAATGGGGAAAGGAGGACACAACAGATGAGAAGCCTCTGCATCACCTCATGATCTTAAAAGCTTTCTCACAAAATTCCAGTTCTTATAAAAAAAAATCGGTGTCATATTTGAGGCTTGGACCTACTTCTAATTAAAAGCCCCCTTCCTTTCTCTTCTCTTTCGCCTAACCCCCAATACTTAGCACTAAGAAATTGGATAATGGGGCCAGTCACATAGAAAAACCTCGCCATACATGCTCCTCAATCACGGAAAAAGCAAGCCTAATTTCTTTTTGAGATCTCCTACTCTAGTTTTCTCTAAAGCTGCATGATTTTTAAAAAAGAGTTATCTTTTCTATTACGTGGGAACTTGGAGGCTATAGAGTTTCTGAGGTGTTGGCCTCATTTAAGACAGGGTAGTTGATCTAAGGCATCAAAGAGAGCATTGGGATATCAAGGGCAAGGAAAAAAGAGAGAGAGTGTGGGGACAGGAGGGAGCATCCCAATTCTAAAGTGGTGAGTGAGGCAAATTATATTGTCTGACTATCCATATACCGTACCTTTATTCCCCTCCTAAAGGGAAAAAGAAAAAGGAAAAAGAAGAGGAAACACTCCCAACACCTGAGCAGGGAAAAACTGTTACGGTGATGAGCTGTCCATTGCCTTAGTGCTGAACTCTCAGGTTGAAGATTAGGCGAGCCATAGCTGTCCTCTATTGCTTAGTCCCAGACTGCAGAGAGACACTCACAGTCTCTGGCCTCTCCTGCATTTCTCTCAGAATTCTACTGCAGTTTGCAGGGAATTTCACAGCAATTTCCTCAGAATTTCACCGAATTCTCCTGGGATTTTCTCTAGGTTCCGGTCTGGGCTCTCAGTCATCAGCATTCTCTCTCAGTGGCCTATCAGGACTATAGGAACCTTAGGATCTCTTTTTCCAGGATCTAAGTGAGACTCCTCTTCAACAGAAGAATCCTCCCATCCTTGCCTCTCCCCACC